CAAATGCATGTTCCATGGTTTTTCATTAATTTTTAGGAATTTTATGAGCTTTCGTGGTTTAAAGTACATTGATTTTTTTTCTTTAATTTTAGATGAAGAAGAATAAAAAAAGAAAAAAAAGAGATTGGGATGAAATTAAAAGAAAAAAAGGATCAAAAAGAAAAATATTGATTGGGGGCATAATTGAGAGAAAACAATAAGAAAAAAAGACTCGAAATAAATAAAACAAAAAAAAAACAAAAAGACCAAAGATCGAACTAGAAAAGGCAAAGAAATTTAAGGATAAAAAACGTATTCATTACATAGGCCGACATTGTTTTGGAGACACTAGAAAAAAAAATATCAATGGTGACATGACATTTTGTCAAATTGTGTTAGATCTCTTTTAGGCTCGATACCATATAAAGTTAAATAATTGAAATTGGGTTCTAAGGTATAAAGTACTTTTTCAAGATTGATTTGAGGTCCGGATACCATCATTTGAAGATTAAGAGGAAGGACATCCCTAAAACTGCCTTTAGGATACAATATCTCCATTATGAATTCCTAGTGATGTCGTTTGACCTTATCAATACTCTAACAGATTTTATAGGCTTGATGAATAGGGTGTTTTGACGCTTCCTCAAAAAGTTTATAATCGTGTTTATTGATGATATTTTGGTGTATTTTAAGAATGAGAGGGAGCATAAGAATCGGCTAATACAATTTGAAATGTGAATTCGGTTGGAGAATGTGGCATTTCTAGGACATATTGTGTCCAAAAAAGGGATTATGGTTGATCCAAAGAGAATAAAGGTTGTAAGCCATCGGTCAAGACTTACTTTAGTGATGAAGATTCAAAACTTTTTATGTCCGGCTATGTATTATCAAAGATTTATGCAAGACTTTTCAAGAATTGCAGCACTCGTAACCAAGTTGACACAAAATTATGCAAGATTCTAGTGGTTAGATAAGTGTGAAGAGAGCTTCTAAAAGTTAAAGACGTGGTTGACCATGTCACCAATGCTTTTCTTGCCTTCGAGAAGTAGTAGATTTTTAGTATTTTGTGATGCCTTGAAAGTAGGGTTGGGATGTGTGTTGATATAATATGGTAAGGTGGTAGCTTATACTTCGAGACAGCTTAAAGAAACATAAATAGAATTACCTTAGACATGATTTAGAGTTGGCAATAATGGTCTTTTCCTTAAAGATTTAAAGATATTATTTATATGAAAAGACTCATGAGATCTATGTAGATCATAAGATTCCGAAATACATATTTGATTAGAAGGATTTGAATTTAAGGTCGAGAAGATGGATGGAATTATCGAAGGACTATGATTGTACTATCTTGTACCATCCGGGTAAGGCTAATGTGGTAGCCGATGCCTTGAATAGAAAGTCATTTGAGAGTTTGGCTCATTTATCGAAGGATAAATGGCTTTTGGCATTAAAAGTGAATAGATTATAAGATTCTAGAGTGGTGTTTGGAGTTAATAAATCGGGTGCTCTATTGGCCCATATTGAAGTTAGGCCGGTTTTGGTGGATCGATTTAAAAGGTCTAGAAAATGACGAGGAGATACAAGAAGGAAAAAGTCTAGGTTTTAGAGTTAATAATAAAGGCACTTTATGGTTTTATTGGAGGTCGTGTGTGCCAAAGAATTCGGAACTAAGAGAATAGATGTTGATAGAGGCTCACAATATCGTCTATTCTATGCATCCATGCTATATCAAGATGTATAAGGATCTTTCCGAGAATTATTGATGGAATGGAATGAAGAAAGACATTATGAAGTTTGTTTCACGAGTGTTTGACATGTCAACAAGTGAAATACAAGCACCGAAGCCAATAGGAATGTTGCAAGAGTTGCCACTACTCGAAGTGAAAATGAAAAAGAGTGACAATTGACTTTGTAACATGTTTGCGTTGAACCTAAGGAGGTTATGATTCAATTTAAGTGATTGTCAATAGATTAACTAGGTTCACTCATTTTCTCGCTATCCGAGTTATATATTGATCGAATAGTGTCTTTGCATAGTATTTCGATCTCCATCATTTTAGATCGAGGTACTCAATTCACATTTCAATTCGGAGGAAATTACAAAAGGCTCTTGGTATGAGACTAATTTTTAGTACGACATTTCATCCTCAAATAGATGGCCGATCAATTCGGACCTTAAAAGATATGCTTAGGGCATGTGTGATGGATCTAGGAGGTAGTTGGGATCATCACTTGCCATTGGTTGAGTTCTCGTACAATAATAATTATCACTCTAGTATCGATATAGCACCGTATGAGGCACTCGTATAGTCGAAGTATAGTCACCAATATGTTGGGCAAAAGCTAAGGAAAAGGAATCTTTAGGACCGGAATTGATTTAGCTCACTACTAAAAAGGTGAAGTTGATCCAAGAAAGCCTTAGGATTATACATAGTAGATAAAAGAGTTATACAAATCCTAAGAAGAAACATGTGAAGTTTCGGAATAATGACTTTATGTTTCTTCGAGTTTCTCCGATGAAGGGAGTAATGTGGTTTGGCAAGAAGAGAAAGTTGAGGCCGAGGTATAGTAGGCCATTTGAGGTTATTGCTCGAATTGGAGTAGTGTCTTATGAGTTGGCATTATCATCATAAAGAAAAGAAGTTTTCTTAGATTATTTGATTACCGCACCTAACATTCGAGCTATTATTTCTTGATTATTACACTAAAAAATCATTTTTGTACGAGCTTTTTTTTCCGTCGATTATTTGTTTTGTCAACTAAAAAATTACTCATATTATTCTCTTGTAATTTAATCAAAAGAGTATCATACAAATAAAAAAAAATGAGGATATATATGATTATGAATAATAGTGATCTCTTAAATACTAACATATTGATAAAAAAACAAAAAAAAACCACAATTAGTAGTACTAGTCTTTAATTAATCGAAACATTAACACTTTTTATCAAGTAATCAAATTAAATTATGCGATGAATATATAACATATTGTAGTACATTAATTCAATAGAATAAGAACATCTATAATAGAAATACATATCTTAGAATAATGATTTTCATTTAAGTTATGGAAAATTAAAAAAATTCTCTAAAAAATCTTTCATCCGAAAAAACCTATCAATTTTATTTTAAATCTCTCAATCTCAAAACAATATTTATCTTACCAAAACACATAATAATTATAATTGGTGTTAAGGATGAAGTTAATTATCGGATGTTTTGATAAGAAAAATATTATTTTAGATTTTTTAAATTTAAAAATAAATTGGTAAATTTTTTAAATAGAAGATTTTTTTTTAATTTTTAATTTTTTTGTTAATTATTCTTTTTTTTTTTAAACACGTAAATGTGATACCAACATTTAATATTATGGTTTGTGAAAACATAATTAAAGGTATCTGAGACTATTGAAGTAATAAAAATAGATTACGGAGCAATGCCACCCGTTAATAGTAACACAGTCCCATGATCTTATGAAGGGCATATTGTGAGCCAAGAATTTAACCTTGAAAAGAGCGATAACTAATCAAAGCTTCTTGGTTACGATGTTGGTTGGACATCAACAATCATCGCATAAAATTGTCAAACCACTACAGATATGAGAAGTCATTGTCACCTGTAAGAGTGGGCATGATAGAAGAAAATTCAAGAATGTTTTTAAATGCCATGCGTCCTAGGAAAGCTCATGTGACCTACCATTTGCTCTTGTCTACATTTTCATTTTTGTTTCCCTGGTCATCATAACCTGTTGCTTTGCATATAATTTGAGCAAAACGAAAATTTATTTGCGTCTAATACACACACATATAGAAGATGAATAAAAAGAAGTGCTCATATACAAAGATGTCTTTTCTTTTGCTTTACAGATCTGAGATTTTCAGACTCACTTGATGGTTGGAAAACTTCAGGCTTGCCAAAATTGATGGAAATTTCCCCGTGATTAGCAGGCAGTCATACCAACCAAAAACCATCATGGAAGGCTAATTATTTCGATATTTTTAGAAAGAAGTCACTGTGGACAATCAGACGGTGAGTGGTGGTGGACCTATCAATCATTACAAATTTTCATTGTTGCATCCTGTCGTTCTTTTTAGCCTTTAAACATATGCATCTAGACCTTGACGAGGGAGACAAGAGCAGCTCTAAAGAATTAATGGTGTCTGCCTATAAAAAAGAATACGACAATCATGTTTATTAAATCAAAATATAATTGAATGACTATGATTTAGTATTAAATAAAAATAAAAATAATTTTATTATTTTCACTTAAGTTGAATAATTAAATTCAAAATCGACATCAAGATTTTTAAAACATGACAAGTTCCATATCTGTAAATATGAGGCAAACAGGTGGCAGTGGGCCTGTGGAGTTTGGTTAAGACTGGAGGTGATCACAATGACGAAAGTCTAAATGTGAAAATAGTAACCCAATTATCATACTCAAGATGGGCCAATTGCTCACGCTCGTCCACAACCACTCCTAGCCTTAAGTAGGTAGTACTAACCACCCTCTAATATAGTCTAATTAATATAACAGACAAATTAAATATCCCTTTGTGTCAAAACTCAAAAACTCTCTGCCCCGTAGAAATTCAAAACCAGGCCCCATCACACCAAATAACCAACCAGGTGCGATTTCTTGCACACTTTTGGTGGTGTCGTGTGTACTCGTACCAAAAAAAAAAAAACGTTGGTGCTTGCAGAACCTTACCTTCCCTTCTTTTAAGTTCTCCTAAAACTAAAATGCCCAGCTTTCACACTAGTTAAAAGATAGTTTTCTTTCCTTTACCACATATTCCTCATCTTTGAGCTAAAGAATTTCCTCACAGCACACTCAATTCCTCCATAAGAATATGTTCTTGGCTTGTTCGCTCCTCCTATTATCCTCTATAACCTCAAGTGAAGCAAGAATGTCTTTATGAGGACAGCCAATTTCAGTTTTAAAGGGCTGTCTGAATAGACTGAACTCCAACTCCTCATGAGAAAGTCTTGTTCTTGAACACACCCACCTGATAAAATGTGCAGAATTCTATTCGAAGTCGAACAAAAAGATGGCTTTGCGGTATACCCACCTCTTCGATCACCTCCCTCATCAATCTCGTCTCCTTACAATAGTCTCAACTACGAAAAAGAATCAACCCCGCCATCATCTTCTTTTAACAAAATTAGTCCAGTACTTCTTTTGGTGATAGTAATTCTTGCTGTTGTTTTCTTTGTTTCTGGCCTTCTTCATTTGCTTGTTAGATTCCTCCTAAAAAGGTCATCTTTTTCCCCAATTTATCATTCCAATAGGTACCAAGAAACCTCAGGGTCTCATTCTCTCCAAAGACAGCTTCAACAGCTCTTTCGCTTGCACGATTCGGGTCTAGACCAAGATTTCATTGATGCTCTACCTGTGTTTTACTACAAAGATATCATGGGTTCAAAGGAGCCATTTGATTGTGCAGTTTGTCTCTGTGAATTCTCAGACAAAGAAAGGCTCAGGTTGCTTCCTCTGTGCAGTCATGCTTTTCACATTGACTGCATAGATACCTGGCTTCTCTCAAACTCAACTTGCCCTCTTTGTAGAGGGACCCTTTTGGGCTCTAGACTTCCTATGGAAGATCCGCTGTTCAATTTTGATCTCCCAAGGGAATTATCCAATGGATTCTCTAGTGAAGGAGAGAGTGGATCTTCCAATTGTCAAAAAACAGTTACTAGTGTGGAGGACAAAAGCGTTGGTGAAAAGAGGGTATTTTCAGTGAGACTAGGCAAGTTTAGAAGCCTGAATGTTGGAGAAGGTAGTGGAGAGAAACAAGATGGAGAGACCAGCAGGTGTAATTTGGATGCTAGGAGATGTTACTCAATGGGAACAGTTCAGTATGTGGAAGGTGAATCAAATTTGCGAGTGGCCTTGTCTCATGGTAATCTTAATGGCACGGGAAGAGACAATGGATGCCCTTCAATTGATGGGGATTTGGAAGATAAGAAAATCAGAGGTAGGACAAGAGGTGATAGCTTCTCAGTTTCCAAGGTTTGGCTTTGGTCTAAGAAGAGCAGATTTCCAACTTCTTCAAGTACTCACATGGATACGTCTTCTTCTTCTTTTGCTGTAAGTTTACCAATCAATGATAATAAAACTGAAATTGTAAGAGATATATAACTACTCACTCGCTAAACTGTTTTGCCCTTTCTTGATTTATCGATTAATTATACACTGTCCAGAATTTGTATCATACCTTCCTCCATTTTGTCTATACTTATTTATTGTCCATTCAATGTTGTCAAATAAAATGCTTCAGTAGTATTTTTGAGTTGACTCAGCTGATATAGAAATGCTGCATGAGAGGTGTGAAGTGGTCAGCTCTGATTACTCTTCAGTAAGTTTAAGGCACCTAGATCTATACATCTTGGAAGTAGAAAGTCAGAATTGCCTTGGTTTAATTCACAGAAAATGTAGTAATAAGTTATGGTTAAAGTATTCCATTTCTATAATTTTATTGCTTATAAGGTAAATTGATTGCTTAATCAATGTCACATTAGGAATTTTAAACTCTGATTCTCTCCATCTGGTTGGGACAAGAATCCGGATTAGCTGACCAAACCTTTATTTGATAAAAGCTGAGAACCTTGGAATGAGTGAATAGCTTGAAAAATTGGATATTGACATGAGAATGCAGTTGTTCAAAAAGGAAATGAGAATGCACCAGTGCCCCCACAATACTATCTTGCATTTGCCCCCACTCTAACGCAAATTTCCATGAGATCTATCACAACTTCCGAAATGAATAAGCTGGGTGGGGTTTACAGCAAAATTGAGTTTTCTAATGCAGAGATTCATCACCATTACCAGCAGCATCCAAAAACCATAACTCAAACAAGAAAATGGGACTAATTTACGTGGCGTGCTTTTCTTTATGGGCGGATAGCCATTTCATGACGTAACCACAGTGAGATCATTGGAGGGATAAAGCACAAAAATTTTAATGATAATAACAATACCACCGTTGTCTACTTTCTTTGTATATTGTTCTGCAAAATGAACGAACACAAGACTTCTATTTCGCAGATTTTTTCCCCCTCTCTAAAAAACGTAATATATATTCGCATGAGCTCAGATTTAACTAGTTTTTTTACTTGCAGTGTATGAAATATATAAAATTATTTTTAAAAAAATTATTTTAATTTTATAGTTTATGTTATGATGTGAATCTATAAAAATATATGAAATCAAAGATAATATATATATATATATATAGTTTATGATGATGTCTATAAAATATATTATAATATATATATATATATAATAAAAACTATATTAATTTGAATAATTGAGTGGTTAAACAAAAAAAATTAATTATTTAATTTAAAATAAGCTAATTTTAAAATATTAATAAATAAACAAATAAATAGTAAATGCTTAGTATAGTAGTAGTTGCACAATTAATTTCTAAAAAAACAACAATTCAATATTTTTCTATACATCGTAACTATACTAAGTGAGTTCGAGTTTTCGATCTAAAACAAAAAATACTATAAAAAAAAAATTTAACTTGCAAGGAATCTATTAACTAAATTTGAAATTCATAGACTAAAATAAAAATTATTACAAATTTGATTTCGATTAATTTTGATTATATAAAGAAGAAACAAATTAATAAAACATGTAACTTCTTTTTCTTTTTCTTTTTTCCTCCTTAAATAATTTTTTATTTCTAAGCTATGCATGGCTAGTCCTTGAATATAGGCCTCATGCGTAGAGCAACCATCTTCTTTTTATTTTTCACATTTTACTTTCAACTATTAATTAACTAATTTGAGTTTCTTTTTAGAAAAATCAAGAAACAATTATTTGAAATATATTTTTAACCTAAAAATGTATTTTGGACATATATATATATATATATATTATCACTATAATTTAAAAATTATCCAAATCTATTTTTCAAAAGAAAAAATAATCATGTTCTAAAAGTTTATTCCAAAATCGATACATATATAAAATAAATCAAAATTGTCATTAAATATAATATTAAATTAATTGGATGAGAATTTAAAAAAAAATGATAAATTAAAGTAATAAATTTTAAATAATAAAAATAATTAACAAAAAATACTAAAACAAAATGGGAACAAATCACAATACAATTAAAATTTAAAATTGAAAAAAAAATATATAAAAAAATTGAGGACTAAAAATGTATTTCGGATAAACTATATATATTAATCATGCCACTATAATTTAAAAATTATCTAAATCTATTTTTCAAAAGAAAAAATAATCATGTTCTAAAAATTTATTTCAAAATCCATAAATATAGAAAAACAAATAAAAATTATCAGTAAATATAATTTTAAATTAATTGGATGAGAATTTTTTTTTAAAAAAAAGCAAATTAAAGTAGTAAATTTTAAATAATAAGAATAACTAACAAAAAATAATATAGACAAATCGAGGAATAAAGTATTAAATCTTGAAAACAAAAATAATTAACAAAAAACATTAAAAAAAATAAGATCAAATCACAATACAATTAAAGTTTGAAATTGAAAAAAAAAATATGTAGACAAATTGAGGAATAAAGTGTTACAAAAATGTCATGAATAGTAAAAAATAATAATATATGAGTGTGTGAATAGTATTATAAATAGTAAAAAATTATTTTGCTTTAGTGTTTTTTATAATAATAATGGGCTCTTTCTTTCCCACTACTGGCTCTTGCTTCCTTTGAAACACTACAAAGGTTTAAAAGCTCGGTTAAAGCATTCCAAGCTACTTACCCTAACTTGAAGTAGTGAATACAAGCCGATTGCTCACGCTATGCTACCGGTCCGGTAAAATAAAATCATTTAAAAATTTAAAAATTTTTAATTATAATTTTTATTTAATTAATTTTTTCTAATGTTTTTTTTTATATTTTTTTTTTTTTTTTTTTTGCTTAAAAACAAAATCATTCTTCTTTATGAATTGATTTTAACTAAAATATTGATCGAGAATTTTAAAAAAAACTTTAAATATATATTTTTCATAATATTGTATTACAAAAAATAAAATTATAATTAATTGATAGACTTTTATAAAAACTAACAAATGAAAAAAAATTCTTATTTAATATTGATGAGAAGATTAATTTTTGAAATTATCCGTGCAACGCTGCACGTAAATAGAACAAAATCATTTTAAAATTTTAAAATTTTTTATTTAATTGTTACTATTTTTTTGTGTTTTTCATAAAATTTTTTCTTAAAAGAACATGACTATTGCCATCAAGTAAATAGTAATTTTATGCATATAAACGGTAAGTGAATAGGAATTTAGGCATATGAACGAGTTTGGATTCTTGCATTATGCTCGCGAACCGAACAAAATATATTTATTTCAGTTTGATAATATATACTATATTGTCAATTAACTAAAATTTATTAAATTAAATATGAAAGATAAAATTTCATCTAAGTTTATAATTTTTAATCAAAATTTGTATCTATACATTTTTTTTCAATGTTTTGAATAAATTTTGATGTAAAAAAAATATGATTTGTTCTTTCTTATGTATTTATTCCTAAATAAAAACCCATAATAAACAATTTTTAATATAAAATTAAAAAAAAGTCTTGATAATTTTTTTTTATAACATTGCATCAAGGAAATAAAACAACGAGTTAATATAAAAACTTATATGAAAATTAACAAATGAAGTTTTTTTTACTAATGAAAAGATTATTTTTTTTAAATATGTATATTTGATTTATATTTATTTATTTACAAAATAATGAATAATATTAGTATACAAAATTGTGTTTGAATTATTAAGAAATTATTCTAAAATATTATTTCAATTATTTTTTAAAAAAAATTAATTTTAAAATATAAAAAAATAATAGCAAATAGTTGGTGTTGTGCGGGTAGATGTATAGTTGATTTCTAATAAAATCAATGACTCTAATATTATTATTTTTATGCATCATGACTGCACTTAATGGATGAGAATGTATAATATAAACAGAAAAATATTTTTAAAAAAATTAAATTATAAAATATATACTAAAGTTAATAGAATGCAATAAAAACTATAAAATTGATTTCGATTAAATTTGATTATATAAAGAATAAGAAAATAAAATACATGTATTCTATTTTTAAAATTTTATTATATAAGAATTAAGCAAATAAAAATTGATATAAAAGAAACTTATTCGAATCCATACATAGAGAAAATAAATCATATTTTTTAATAAATAAAATAATAAAAAAAATAAAAAAAATTAACTTCATGAGAATTTTTATAATAAATCGAAAAGATAAATTTTGAACAATAAAAATAGTACATATTTATTCTAAAATATAAAAACATATCATATAAATTATATAATCGTTAGTTTGTGTGGAAAAAAGTAACGATTAATTTTTAAAAATTTTAATACCCAATTAAATAAATAAAAAAGAAAAGGCATGTAATGCATGAGCTAGGGATTAAATTTTTTATTTTAAACTTTTAAGGACCTAAATGAAATAATTTGAAACTTACAAAAAATAAAAATAAGAGTGAATAGTATATTATGAGGGTAATACTCAATTAAATAAAAAAGCATAAATTGATGGAAAAAAAAAAGCAAAAGAAAACAAAGAGCGTGTAGTGCATTAGTTAGGAGTTAAAATTTGAAGGACCAAAACAAAATTACAAAAAAAAAAGGTGAATAGTATTGTAACCCCCGTAAAAACCCTTATCCGTAACGCGACGTGTATTAGAATAATTCTATATATATGTATATTAAGAGTAAGTATAATTATCATTTCATCATGAGAAATTAATGCTTGAAATATGTGATTTATGTTAAATTAAAGTTATTGTGCTTAAGATTAATGGTTTAATTATTAAAAAAATCAAATATGCAAAATCAGTGTTTTAAGGACTATATTCTATCCGAGTTTTGTGTGAATTATTTGAGGACTTTAGGGTAATTTTTGGGTCAACCTTAAAGAATGAAAGTTGTTCATCTATGTGTTGAATAGATATGTATAAAATGTTATAATATTTAGACCTATACATTAAGAGTTATACCAATTATAGTGAGGGTTGTTTCGAAATGCATTCTGCTGGAATTTTGGGAGAAGAATCTGCCCGAATCTTGTGAGATTTATTTGATGCTGTTAGATTGATT